TGTTTTCAGATAAATCTATGAGTATAGTGACCAATAGGATATACACAAAGAAGAGATATTATTTAGATATAGATTGCATGACTTCAAATGGCACAAAGAACATAAGCAAATCATGAGTAATATGGCGTGCGATAAAAGAAGAGTAATTATAACACTCATGAGACTCGGCATTCGAAGGTCCCCAATCCATTCAGAAACTGACCTCATTATGAGAACTGAACAATGAAAACTTGGGATCAATGAGAACTATTTCAGTGCATGTAATGGAGAGACAACCAAGAGCACACACTAGAGAGTGGCTGGAACAACACCATAACATAGTGGACTCTCCATTTCAGAATACATATGGTTATGACGGCAAGTATACATGGCTGTCCTAAGAGGTGCACGACAACTATGATCTCGAATAAGAAAGCGCATATATGATCCAACTTCGATTCAAACAAATGAGGGTCTGAATAGATTGCTCGCAGTTTTACACGAGTCTTACCATCAGTGCTCCGAACAGATACCACCAAAGCTTAAAAAATCATGGTGGTAATTTAGAGAATTTCAGCCGATTCCTAACACAAGGATCTGAGCATCGTTAGGTGAGGCGCTAAACAGAGTGATAGCACTATCAGACGAGAATCTGAATGAGCTAAACAAGGCCCTTTTCAAGTTATGCGCCCGAGCTCAAAAGCAAGCATATAATGGTTAAGAAAAGTAAGAGCGAAAAAATGACTAATAAGCCACGGAGATGAAATAGCCACTCACCTTGTAGTACCATCTTTAGAGACTATAAGCTTGACTGATATACGCTTCATCGGTTCTAGTTTTTAGGAAGTACAAAAATAGCATAGTTCTCTGTATAGTCGACAGTGCCAAGTTGTTTAGCCCTTATAGATGGACCGATACTCTCTTATGGTTAGTTAGAATACGAGCGGCCGCACGCAGGTGGGTGGAGACTGGGTGGGTGGTCAAGAGTGTGGTGTTGTGCCGCCTGATCATATTGATGATGTGTGTCACTATTGAATCTTGGCAGTTTCTCAATTTCATGAAGATGACGAAGAATAATAGTGGACTGAATAGAGGTGCTGTTTATGAAAACGTTTGAGATGGAGGCCGAGCCCCATGGTTGTCAACAATCCTTCTTGAAAGGCATTTCTCCTAAACCCCTAATACAAGTGTTGGCCTTTGGTTATATGGACCAAAAGAGGGGCAAAAGGTGGGGGGGACAAAAAAATTGGGGGAAAGGGCCAAAAAAGCTTTCGACCCCAACAATATCCCCGGAATATAGGTATATTTTCTGGGGGATACAACGCCATACAGTAGTAAAGGTGAAACAGTGTGAGGATCATGGCCGACCCAGGTATTTTTGTTGCACGGTGGCCGGCCGGTCAACACCCCTACGTTCGGCGGTAGGGTCAAAAGGGTCAAGTTGGTTTAGTGGCGCGGCACCACATAATGGTGTCCTCCCATGTGCCCTGCAAAACACAACCCTGTGGGTTTAAAAGTCCAAGAAAAGTGTGCTTCGAAGGTGTTCACATTGGCTTCGGAAGGAGGGGTTCAAAAGGGTCAAGCAACATTCGTGGCCGGCCACCAACTTTTAGGGTCTCCATTGTGTGTACATCAAAAGTATGGGTTCAAAAGTTGCAAAGAAATGGCCCCAGGTGTTCAACCATTAGCCCGGAAGGAGGGGTTCAAAAGGGTCAAGCAACATTAGTGGCGCCACCAACTTTTAGGGTCCTCCCATGTGTGTAATCACAAATATGTGGTTTCAAAGTTCAAGAAAGTGGCCCCAAGGGTGTCGACATTAGCCCCGGAAGTGTGAAAAACGGGAGTGCAGAGGATATATAATGGGTTGCTATGCAAACAATTACTTGGTCTTCGCACCCTTCAGTGACCTTCCCAGTGATAAAACAGAAGGTAGCCTGACAAAAATGAACGAAAACGCGTTGCAAAACGAATGCTCGGGGGCCAAAACACGCAGTTCGGAGTCCCGAAAATGGGCTGTTAAGCACCGAAAATGGCAATCGGCCACGAAGTGGGTTTCTCAGACCCCAGTGTCCCTCAAAAGGGAGCAAATAAGAAGTATGCCGAAAATCAGAGCAAACGGAGGTGGTTAGGCGGTCCCGAACCGAGGCACACGGCCTGACGGCTCCGAAAATCGGGAACCGGGCTCCGAAATGGGCAAAATGGCCTACGGCCACCAAATGTAGCCCACGGCCACTGAGAGATGGTCTACGGGACCTCTCCCTCCCCTCAGGAAAAGAAACAAAGAAAATCGAGCCTGGTTCGCAAACCGAGGCAAAGCACAAAAGAGGGTTAGGAAGTCCGGAGGCAGGGCTCACGGCCGCAACTCTGAAACTTCTGAACGAGCACATTATGCAACATCACCAAGCGCTCAATCGGTGACGTCTGAGTCTTAAGGTCGGTCAAAAATGGGGTGTCTACACAAGGCGATTACAGTATACAGATAAAACAGTTTAAAAATGAGTAAAAAGTCAAAACAAGGGAAACAGTGACTTACAATGGAAAAATTAGAGTCGCCGAGATCAGACGGTGGCAGCAACCAGAGAGGTGTAGCAAAAACCTTCGCCGGAAGGGAGTGAACGGAAGTAGTTGCAGAAAGCTTCGCGAGAGCAACAATGGCGTATTTGAATAAGGAAGCTAGAGGGAGAGAGAGTTGAGAGCTTGAGAATGAAAATACAAAAGTGAAAAGATGAAGAGAGAGAAATTGATTTTGATCAGAACGCAAAAACGGCGGCAAATAGGCCATTAATGTGCCTAAAAGAACATATGCGTCAGACGGCGCACGCGAGAAGAATTCGACTTACAGGCGCGTAACAGATACGATCTAGTAAGGGGTAGACGCGTGTCCTAAACGGTTGAGTTACTGTGCATAACAGCTCATACGCAAGAAAAGGCTCTTGGAATTCATGTTCCATAGAAGATATGTCAGCCTTGAGAATGATCTCGGCTAGGAAATTTGAACAACCCTGGTTAATGGTTCCAAAACATAAATAAAAAGCAGACTATAGGTCTTGGACAAACTGAATCAACAAGTTCTTACTACGGCAATGAATGTTAGAACAAGATAGCTGACATGCTATCCGGTATGACGATATAGGTTCCATCACCTCAGGATGCCGAGGTAATAGAACCTAGGGGGTAGTTGTGGGGATATATTTTTTGAATACCAACACATGGCCAAGGTGACGCCGACGTGTCAGCCGACGTGCCATGTGTCCTGGTCACGACGCTGAGGTGATCTCGGCTAGGCCGAGGTTATCTCTGAAGATATCAAAATCCGGGATAAGCGGATAAGGGACAAGAGTCCAAGAATGAGGAAGGACTTCAACCTAGATAAGGATAAAGCTCTTAGGGAGTTTAATCTTTATCTATTGAAGAGTCCATGATAAGCACTGAGCTAAAAGTCCATTGAAGCAAGGCTTCCATTGGGACTAGGATTGAGTTAACTATAAAAGAGAGGCACCCCTATGGGTCTAAGGTACGCAATTTATATTCTGAACAGTGAGTTAAGCACTATTGATTATCTTTGAGAGATATTTCACTGACTTGATCGTCGAAGTGCTCCCGGGTGGACGAGCCACTGCGGGATTCTTATCTTTTTGTGACAGGTCGTTCGGGCTTAATCTATTCTGCCAGTGTTCTCCAGCTGAGTGCTTGATTGGCAGTGTGGTTGGAAATTGACACACACAGTGGGAATTTTCTGTTTTTTTGGTTTGATTTTCAACGCATTTTCTTGGCAAGAGAATTGGATGTAAAATGAGCTATGATTGGTGATATTGAGTCAAATCTGCTGCTGCAAGATTGAAGTTTGTTTATTTGTTGGGGGAACTTGGAGAAAATGAGGAAGAAAATGAATATTTTGAATATTGAAGTAACATATAGTTGTGATTCTGAAATTTCGGAGCTAACTGTAAACTGAACTTGATAGTGTGTAGAATTTGTGAACGGTTGTGAGCAGTGGAAATTTTATGTTTTTTTGTTTTTTGTGAAGCTATTGTCCGAGACTATGAATGAGCAAACAAAGAAAACAGGTTTTTCGGATTATCTTGCCGGTCGATTAGCCGGTCGTCCCCTCGGTCGATTGGCATTTTGCTGATAGCCAAAAATACACCGTTGGAGAGTTGGATATTAGATAGAGGAATTCTTCAAATTTTTACTCAAATTTTGTGAAATATTTGATACATTGTTGGAGATGTCCTAACACTATCTCCAATTTTTAAATCTGATATCATTTTATCAAATTTTAATCAAAATATTTTAAAAATTCGAGTATATCCAAATAATTCCCTTTCATCAAATTTAATGAAACAAAAATATCACCAATATTTTATTTTTTCATTTATTATCAAATTGAAATTTAATCAAAGGTTCGATAGGTTCTCAATTTTACAAAAAAAATAAAATAAAAATAAAAACTCTCCCTTTGATGAATATATCATGACAAAATTGGAGATAACATTCAAATATTTTTTTACAAAATTTAAATTTAATAAAAAAAAAGAAAATGAAGTACTGAAAATCCTTTAAAACATTATTAATAATTTAATCTGTGAGATTTTGCTTTTAAATTATTGATGCCAATAAAATTTGTTTATTTATTTTGGCCAATGGTTGTGCAATTGATTATGGTTCAAATTCTTTCCCGTCCACATACAATAATACTGTTTGAATTCGTAGTGTCTATCATAAATTTTATTTCGATAATTTAAATCGTTCAATATATAAGTCTTATTGGGTATTTTATATGTATAAAAGTTATATTAATCAAATATCAACCGACCTTTAATTAAAATATATTTTTATCAATAATTTATTTTTAAAGTTATATTTTTTAATATAATAAATAACTAATAATATTTGATTAATATAATTTTCTATAAAATAAAATATTCAATTAATAGTAAATATTAAACAATTCGAATTCGAATTATTAGATTCGAATTATTAAATCCAAGCCCACAGCCCCAACAGTCGGGCTGTAGAGAATTGATTATTACGGGTGTGCTTTGGTGGGAAGAACAACAAAATAGGAAAATAAAAAAAAATAGAAAAAAGGGTTTTGTGTCGGTAGAAATTGGAAATCAGAGGGTTGATGAGCTGAGTTTACACTGATCAGGATCTTTTATATGTATCTGTCTGTATATCTTCTCTATATCCATCTTTATATACTCGAATCTCATCAGTCTCTGTCTCTCTCGATTCACACCTCTCATTCCCAGATTACACGATCTTCATTCAGCTCATCACCACATTAAACCCACTTAATAATATATGTGTGTGTGTATTTGTGCATATAGGATTTGGGTTTGTGTGCTTTCGATCGAATCGAGTTCGACTGTGTCTCTTGAGTTGTTCGAGGTCCGAGACAGTTCATTTGGGTTTTGTGTATCTGGGCATTTTATTGTTTGTTCTGAGACTTCTGATTTGACTAGCACAGAGACTTTTGTTTATGGGTTGACTGTTTCTTCGTCAGGTTCTGAACCGTGTTGACTCGGTAAATGGAGGCTTTCGAGTTCCAGAGAAGCCTCTTCGGGATTCAAAACTTCATGTTCTGAGCTAAGACTCAGATTTGAACAGTTCGATGGTATGCTTGTTTGTATTACTACCTCATTCCTTGATTTTGTAAGCATTTGATTCATTTTTTGTATCAAATAATTAGCTATTACTTCTATCTATTTACAAATTATATTGGTCTATATGCATATTTGATTTGTGGGTTTGTATTTTTTTTTTTTTTGAGAGCAATTCAAACATGGGTTTTACTATATCATTAAGTGTTTTCATGAGATGATTTGGATTTGGTTCAGGAATAATAATTGCTATCACAAGAAATTTTAAATGGGTCTTCAAAGAGGAGCTTAACTGGATTGGCATGTGAATCTGGGTTTGATTGTTGGTTATCTCTGGTGAGAAGTTTCCAGACTCATTGGTGTTTTCTTCCAAATTCTGATATTGGGATGGGTTGTCGGTGCTCTAAACTCACTGCATGTTGTTGGGTTTCGGAACAAAACGGGCCAATTCATGAGGCACCGAAAGTTGGTATGTTAAAAAAATTGAACTTTTTTGTTTTACATTTTGGTGATAAGGAGGACCGTTTTTGTATTTGTTTGGCAGAAAATGAGGAGAAGAGTGAGGTTGATGGTTTGCCCACGTTTCGTGAATACACTATTGAACAACTTAGGATAGCTACATCTGGATTTGCAGTAGAAAACATAGTTTCTGAACATGGGGAAAAGGCTCCAAATGTGGTTTATAAAGGGAAATTGGAGAATCAAAGTCGTATTGCCGTTAAACGCTTCAATAGATCTGCTTGGCCTGATGCTCGGCAGTTCTTGGTAAGTATGAGCTAACTAATGAAGTTATCCTTTGCATTTTCATGTATCAATGTTGTTTTTAGATTCATGAAGTTTTTTGCTGTTATAACTGATTACTTTTGGGTTTGGTTGCAACTCAAAAAACATATCAAGAGACAGTTTCTACTCTACCCAAGTGATTGCAAAGTCCCTAATAACAGTTTCTTTTAGTTATTTCTCATACTTATGCGACATTCAACATAGTACATATCAAACTAATTGTAATTGGTTGAATGGCAATTTGGAGTCCTTGAAAGAGGTGCGTCACGGGAAATGCCTACCTTTGACAGGTTCAATGCTCATAATTTAGTCTGCCGTGAGCATTGTCTGAACATTAATGACCATTTATGCATTTGGTGCCTTATATTATCTTTTCCTATGTTACCAGAAAACGCTTAATAGCCTAGCGAATTGCGTATTGGTACATAGTACATTTTCGTTCTGAAATAGTAAATTTTGTGATCCCGATCCCAAATTTTTTTCCCCAATATGTCCTTAAATGTTACCTTAGAAGGAAAAAATTCAAATATAATGAACCAAAATTTGAGGTGAGTTAAGTTTTGATAAGACAAAAAATCAAAAAATGGGTCATAATGCTCATAGAAAATATTACATTTTATTAGATATCTAATAGTTAAAAAAAAATTACTTTAGAAGTACCTTAAATTTTTAAGTATAATATATACAAGTCTACCTTTATTGTACCACATTTTAGAACATGTGGCGTATCACGTTCCCGTTTCACGTACTGGAACGATCCACGTTCCTGGTAACATAGGTCTTTCCTGCTAAAAACAATGAGTAATGTTGCAAACATTGTGCTTTCAAAGCTCATCATGTTGTGCTTGCACTTGACTTGAACTGTTAATGGTTTCTAACTTGGATATGATCCTTCTAGTTACAATAGAAGTTTGAGTTTATATATTACTAAGCTTTGAATTCATCACCATTAATTCTTTAGGAAGAAGCAAGATCTGTTGGTCAACTCAGGAACCATAGATTAGCAAATCTACTTGGTTGTTGCTGTGAAGGTGATGAGAGATTACTTATTGCAGAATTCATGCCCCACGAGACACTTGCAAAACACCTATTCCATTGTAAGTTTATTTTCTATATAACTTATTTTGTCATCATTGCATGTCATTGAATAGTTTTCCAACATATGTTGGAGTTTGCAAGTTATATCATGAAATTGAGACTAGAAATTATGGTTGATTACAGTTAAGCACAATTGCTTTCAGTTTATTAAGCAGCTACTGACGGTGTGTATGTGATGTTTATACTTGTTTAATTATCTATTACGGAACATAGGGCCCTTGTTTCCCACACTCCATTAGACAATTGAATTTTCTCTATTTTACCATTGATCTAGTGACAGGAGCACTAATATTTTTATGACTGTGAAAAGAAAACATTTCCTTCTTCACTTCGAGGGACTCTTGTATGTGTTCTTTCCTAACCTCCCTCTATCTATATGTTTTATTTCTTTGATCCCTTTCATCAATAAATTGTTGGTTTAGTCAGTCACATCAAATAATTTAGTAATACTACACACTGGTCTGTGCCATTATTCTCTCCCCCCCCCCCCCCCCAAATTATTAGCTCTCTCACAGAGTTTCAAAGAAAGTCTAGTGGGTTGCCTTTTTTGGGTTTCCTGTTCCATAACTCAAGCTCAAGTTTAGTAGTTTTAATCTTTTATCTTATTTCTCTCGTATTTGCACACTCAAGTCTTAAATTTGCCTCTCTATTTGATCCAATTCTTTTTAATGATTTGGTTTCATTTTAGGGGTTGTTTGGGATGATCTAAATAAGTGCACTTTTTGACTTTTTATGAAATATGGGTTGGGTTTGGGTTGGGTTTGAAGTGATGTGTTAGAGAGGTGATGTGACTTAAATAAGATGATGTGACTTAAATAGGATAGTGACTTTTTGACTTTTTGTCTTTTTTCAATCATGCCAAACTTGGCCTTAGTTAGTTATCCCTCATATGCAATGTAGGTACTTATCCTAATAGACTATTAAAATTTATTTATGTGTTGACTCAGGGGAAACACAGCCTATGAAGTGGGCAATGCGTTTAAGGGTAGCTTTATATCTTGCACAAGCTCTAGAATACTGTACGAGCAAAGGGCGTGCCCTTTATCATGATCTTAATGCTTACAGAGTAGTTTTTGATGATGTAAGTATGCTATTATTTTCCACTGCTATCATCCTTTTTTGCTGGTGGTCAGGATGGAATTTATTTACTTCTTTGCTATATCTTGTTATATCACAGGATGGCAATCCTAGACTGTCATGCTTTGGTTTAATGAAGAACAGTAGAGATGGAAAAAGTTATAGCACGAACCTTGCATTCACCCCTCCAGAGTATCTGAGGACTGGTATTAACTGTCTATGTTTAATCATTTTCAGTCTTTCTAATTTTTTTTGGACATTTGTGTAAGTTTTACCTTTGAATTTGAATCCTCACTTGCCAACTTTTAAGGGTTTTGCATTTGCTAATCTTCTTGTTTACTGTGGGTTCTGCGTACTGCCATGTTTTTTTTTCTTTCCTTAGCTATTTTATGGTAATGATTAATAAACTTGTTGACCATCATTTTTTAAGCCAAATTCATTCTCTGGATGTACACCTCCAGTCCAGACTCTGGCCAAGTCTGTTTGAAAACTTGTTTCTTATTCTTTTTGGCTTGATACGTGAAGATAAAAGAACAAACTCTTTAGTACCTTCTTTCCTTTGTTAAATCTGCTTCTGCCACATTCATCACCAGGCTCAATCTAATTGTTTGACATTTTAACTGTCTCTCTTATATATGAGGTCAAGTGCAATATTCTCGAGTCAACCAACTGATTGATGTCACATGAGCTTTTGAACTGAAACACTCCATACATGTGACAGTTATTTAAAAAAAAAAAAAGATTGTGCTCTGGGTTATTCTTTTTTATTTTCTTTTATTGTCATAAAAATGTTCCCTCTCATCTTGAGAATATTAAACTGGGAACTATGCTCCATCCCTTGCATAAAGACTTGGCCAAAATGAATATATAAATTTGGGATGCTTTATAGAACAAGATAAATATAGTAAGCAAAATAGTCATGATCATGGTTATCAGAATCCCGATCCGGATCTTACGATCCTACGATCTTACGATTCATTTGAGTACAATCGATCCAGATCGTGTAAAAAACTCTTTATAGGTAGGATCTTTCGATCCTGGTAATGGGATCTTATAGGATCGTAGAATCTCGATCCGAATACGATCCTATCCGATCCAATTTACAAGCCTTGTTTTGTATTGTATGACATATTTTATTGTAAATTTTATGTTTGTTGTCTAAATACCAATTTATGTGGTCAAAACAAATAATAAAAATTAAGTAGTATTGAATCAAATAGACTAAAAAAAACAAATTAGGAAACAAACATTCAAATATTGTGATAATTTAAGAAAATTAAATAGTCGAAAAAACAAACTTAGCTTTTGCGGAGTCTAAGGAGGGTAAAATGATTGCAACTTTATCCCAATTTTTGGAGAGATTATTTTTGTGACTTGAATCCGCTCCACCAAGGATGCTAACGACAAACCTTATCATTCGACTAAGCTACTCTTTTGAGTTCTTAATCTATTTTCATATCCAACTTTGTTAAATATTTTTTCTTTATTTTTTATGCATTAATGTAGATTGTAAAGTATTTTGTTATAGAATTATTCTTCTTCTGCACCTTCTTTTTTTGATGAAATACAAACTTTTACCATCGAGTTTTCTATTGTATAATATTATATGTACATTTTACATGGAGTATTGTATTTTTCACAATATCTTCACTTCTTTTTAATAGAATATAGCCTCATTTTGTGTATACTTTATAAGAAATATTTATTTAAATTAAATTATTATGTAATTTGTTTTTTTGGGTAGGATCTTACGATTCTCGACCCGATTCTACGATCCGATCCTATAAACACCTCTAACGATCCAACGTAGGATCCCGATTTAACAACCTTGGTCATGATCACCTAGCATAACTGGAAACCCTCATACATAAATGTTTTTGTAACCATAAAATGCTAAATGACCCATATCCTTTATGGTGACATAATTAAGGCTACACAATATGATATGACATGTTGCGCTGGGCTCCTGCTAAAGGCAAGCTCTAGGGATGACAAGCTGTATGTAGCCTTACCCCATTTATTGAGAGGCTGTTTCCGTGTTGCAATCCTTATTGTTGGGTCAAGCCTCTCTTTCATTTTTATGGCAATACCAAATTACCAATGTTCTAATCAGCCTGCTATTACAATGAATAATTGAAACTAACATAATTTGCACAATGACACAGTTGGACACTTAATATAGCCATGACAGCAGGCTGGCTGGATAAAAGGGCTATCATGATCTGTCACATTGTTATATCTCTTTATAGCAAGTTCAAATGCTCAATTTAGTTGGTTCATTCTTGATTTTTCCACAGAGAAAAATAGACTCTTTTTTTCTCATCTTGTTTTTCTTCTTTTCTTCATTGTTGATGTGCATGTATATTAGCCATCTCCTCTTTGTTGGAGGAAATTGGCATCACAATGTGAACTTAGCCTTACTCATATGGATGAGGTGAGACTAACCAAACACTCCCCTGCGTCCCTCTCTCCCTACAAAGATCATGGCGCGAAGGCTTTGTCTGACTAACTATGGCCTTGTTTGGGAAGTTGGCTATTTTAGTTGTTTTTTGGCTATTTTAGTTTATTTGATGATTGTGAAAGAAAAAATGAATGATTATGGGTTGGATGTGACGTTTTGTCTTATTGGCTATTTTAGCCTATTTTGTCTTTTAGTGAGGTATTTTAGCTCAGCGTTCTTCCCAAACACCCCCTGTAGAAGCTTTTTGTCATCTGTGGGAACTTGTGTGATTCTTGCTGCTGTAGCTTAAATGTGTAATGTAACGTTCTTTTCATAATCATTTTTCTGTTGATTTTGAAGTGTTAATTGATTTAGGCTTCTATTCTTTCTTGTAGGCAGAGTGACATCTGAAAGTGTTATTTATAGCTTCGGCACCCTTTTGCTTGACCTTCTCAGTGGAAAGCACATTCCTCCAAGCCATGTAAGTCTGATCCTTTCTTGGTTCTTCTTTATTCCACAAATTTAATGAACCCTTTAGTTGTTTACTTGTGCTATCCTAGTGTGATATGGTTGAGAGGGTGCCAGCTAGCTATTTGGTGGTTATAGCTGCGTGTGTTTTGTAGCCCACACCTATGAAGCTAAAAGAGTATATATAAATAATTTTGAAGAAGGAAGGAAGAAAGAAAGAAAGAAGTGAAGTAGTGGTGAAAAATGTTAAGCCATCTCAAACTACTCAAACTTGTTCTTGTTGTCTTAATACGCAGTAATATGAAGTTACCAATTTTTGCAACATTAAAATTCAATTCCAGATTTTGTGTGGGAACTGCAGAGCCATTTAAATCTGTGTTTTCTGGTTCATTGTTGTATTGTATCTCTTGCATAGACTCAAACTATCTTGCCAAGCTTCTTGCAGTTTTCATAATTGTCATCACTCTTTATTGTAATTTAGGTTTCTCAAGTCAGTCTTTTCATTATTGTCACCATCAAGAAATGATATACCAAATGTCAAACTTGGGAAACCTTTTATATTTTTATATAGAAGAAATATGTTTAGTGAAAAGCCAGGAGATGCTTTCACCTTTTATGGATAACCTTATTTGAGAAGACTTGTACATATGAGCATCCTCTTTCAGGTTTTATTTTGATTTGAGGACATAGTTCTAATCAGTTGTTTATTTCTGTCATTAGCTGTACATATGTCCTAGCAAGGTTTGTGGTATTTCTTTTGAGAATTTTCTTAGGTTGCATTTGGATTTATGGATTTCGAATGAATAGATTTGGCATCCGCATCATTTATTCAAGTAGTATATGTAATAATTCAATGTAGTATTTTATTTCTAGATTTCAAGAATGAATTTGAGAGCTTGATGGATTTGAAATAACTTGGTGAATTATAGTCTTTTGAAGTCCTTTCATGAATATTTTACTTGTACAAGGATTTAAAAAAATACATCTTTTCTCTCTACTCATTTTTACACTTAAAATTTTGAGAAATACCATGTTACATTCAAATCCCTTCATTTCAAATCCACTCATCCAAATGGAACCTTATACTTCATTTCATATACTTTTGCAACTAATATTTCATTGAATAATTTATGTCAGGCCCTTGACCTTATACGGGACAGGAATATTCAGATGCTAACAGATTCTTGCTTGGAAGGCCAATTTTCTAATGATGAAGGAACTGAGTTGGTCCGTTTAGCTTCGAGATGCTTACAATATGAGCCAAGAGAGCGGCCAAATTCAAAGTCATTAGTTGCTGCTTTGATTCCTCTTCAGAAGGAAACTGAGGTTGATTGTTTTTTATAGTGGTAGAGCATACCGTTAAATCTTGTATCTTACTTTTCTATGTGCTTCCTACAGTGTCTTGCAAAACTCAAACTTGATTTGCTAAGAGCATTCTTTTGAAATTTCCAGGCTATCCCTTCATAACCTATTCATGCTTCTTCAATTGCCGTAATGACATTAAGTTAACATGCATAATTCTGTGGGGAAACAAAAGGGAGCTTAATTCTGTCTACTTGTACATTCTTATCTGGTTTTATTTAACTGCATGATAATAACATGGCATGGCACACACTGTTTGGACATAATACAATTCGCTGGAATTGCTATCGTTTGTCTAATGGAAAGCATCTTGATTATTCTTGAATTTTTTGTGCTTTTTTAATCCATGTGCCACCACCACCACCACCACCACTGGCCAAATATGCGGAAATAATGGGTTGAAGAAGAATTCTCATTTTCTCTTGTTGCTTAGATGGGCTAAACGAGTTCATGGAAATTAGAGAAATAATATAAAGGGAACTGTTGTCAATTCCGATTTGAGTTCATTCTAGGTTAGACAGTGATTAAGATAATGTCATTAGAGAGCAATTTTTCCAATAAAGGCAGTAAGAAAGTTATCATATGTTTCTCTTGATGGAAGTCTATAAGACGGATAGGTGCTTGTTAGAAAACATAGATTTCTTCTTCGTAGTAGTTGGCTAAAAGTTATTGTAAGATTATATTAACTTTTTTTGGAAGTTGTATAATATGAATGTGGAATTGATCCCAACAGAATACTGGTTTGTTCAAGGGCTAGAATTAACTCTTAGGTTTATAAAAGAAAAGATTGTTTCATTACTTTATGGAAGTTTGAATGATTTTGAGGTTGCAGCTGGAATATAATTTTCTGATTTCTCTTTTCTTTCTTTACTTCTTAAATAGCTTCCCTACTGGCTGTTTTGTTTAATTTCTATGCAGTAAACTTGCTTTTAAAACATCAAAACTGCTCTTATTTCTTCTAAAAAAACCTTTTATTTCCCAAATACTTTCTCCAAATATTCTTGAAATCTGTTTTATTTTATGTTCGAGACCTGATCCTGCTTATTTATGGTGCTGAAGTTTGGGAACGAAACTACAGGGCTATCACCTGTCCCACATTAGCCTGGCAACTCATTTGAATAAAAAAGGTCGCACCAGAAAGATGCTGAAAACCATTCTTGAAGCTTAAAAGAACAAAATTCTAATTTTGTTTGGAGAACAACAACAGACAGTAAAACCTTCACTGTATGAACCCTGATTTCTACTGGGAAGTAGACTTTGATGTATTTCACAGCCTTGAGAGATTTTTTGAAGGAGTCATATCTAAACATGAGTGGGTTTAGGAGTTCTGCAGTGATGAATCTGGTATGAGTTCATATCATATGAGGGGTTGAATTTAAGAAATTCTTAAGGGAGATATTGAGAGGAAATACTTGTGTTCTTTTGTGTGTGTACACTGTTTTGGGGATTACATGAAAGTACCTTTTCATTCTAATTAGTGCTAACAGTTCATAAACACACGACTCATGAGTAGCTTTGGGATATGTGCCTGTGTACTTGCATATTTGTTCATAAGGTCCCATTGAAAAAATCGGAGTAACCTTATAGTTTATTGTAAATAAAATAGATTGCTTTCTAGTAAATTGGCTTTGCAGTGGGTAGAAAGTTGATAGCACATTGTTTTGCAGGTTCCTTCTCATGTATTAATGGGTATACCTCATGGCGCCACAGCTTTTTCTCTATCCCCGCTTGGTGAAGCTTGCGTAAGAATGGATATGACTGCCATGCACGAGATCTTAGAAAAGATTGGGTATAAAGATGATGAGGGAGCAGCAACTGAGGTTTGTTTCTGATATGTGTTTGAAAAACTTGTCAACTGATATACAAATGCATATTAACTTGTGTATTTTATTTTGTTACCTTAACTATCTCCAAAGTAGGTCCTGCATTGACGCATGGATATTATAAGTGAGGTGGAGTGGATAGGATATGGCTCACGAAGTTTTTAAAATGTTCTTGCTTAGTTATGTTATTTGCATGCTAAAATGAATGTTTAAGCTAGATCTTTGATCATCAATAGTAAACTGAACTGTGAAATCTAGTAATTTTTAAAAGTCATTGGAATGTTGGAGGGTGATGGAAAGCATTGCATTCAGTTATCAGTGTATACAAAACTCTATTTTGGGTTCCCTTCAACAAGAGGTCATTGTCGCAATCCTTGATGCTACAATGTTCACAAATCGTGGAAGGCTATGTGACACAGAACCATGAAGTGCATGACTCCTATGTTTACTGCAGTGGCATGAGTTTTGGTAGTAGTCTTTGATTCAATTTGCTTCCGTTTTTTAAGGTTTGAGGAATAGAAATTAGGCCATATGATGTCATGATGTTGATGAGATCTGTAAAAGAAGATTTTGTTTTATTTTTATTATTTTTTTAATGGTTTTATGGTGTATAAATAGGTCTTGTAATAAAACAGTGAATTTACATTCTTGAGATAGAATCATAGTAAATATGCAAAAAGAACCTTGAGCCCCATGTCCCACCCACACAAAACAATAAATGCATTGATGCATGAGCAGTCGTGTACGACTTTTTTTCCCCAATGATCTTGGGGCTTAATAAACCATTTTTGCACCCTCCAAAATGTCCATGCCACTCATATTTCTTTGTTTCCAGCAACCTTGTCTTTACCATAGATGAATGGTTATTCCTACTGCTTAGCGTCAGGGTTTGCAAGTTACTAAATGGACATTATTTGTCCCATTTTCATATGAGATTTCTTCTTGTCTCATTACCAAGGTTGTTCAAATCGGGATCCTACGGTGGATCGTTGGATGTGTTTATAGGATCGGATCGTAGAATCGGATCAAGAATCGTAAGATCCTACCAAAAAAGACAAATTACATAATAATTTAATTTAAATAAACATTTCTTAAAAAGTTTACACAAAATGAGCCTGTATTCTATTAAAAATAAGTGAAGATATTGTGAAAAATATAGTACTCCATGTAAAATGTACATATAATATTATACAATAGAAAATTCGATGGTAAAAGTTTTGTATTTCTTAAAAAAAGAAGCTGAAGAAGAAGAATTTTATGACAAAATACTTTACAATATACAATAATGCATAAAAAGTGAAGAAAAAATATTTAACAAAGTTGGATATGAAAATAGATTAACTCAAAAGATCCGCTTAACCGAATGATAAGGTTTGTCGTTAGCATCCCTGGTGGAGCGGATTCAAGTCACAAAATAATCTCTCAAAAAATTGGGATAAATTTGCAATCATCTTACCATCCTTAGACTCCACTAAAGCTAAGTTTGTTTTTCCGGCTAGTCAATTTTCTTAAATTACCGCAATATTTGAATGTTTGTTTCCTAGTTTGTTTTTCTTAGTCTATTTGATTCAATATTACTTAATTTTTATTATTTATTTTGATCATATAAATTGGTATTTAGACAACAAATATAAAATTTACAATAAAATATGTTATACAATACAAAACAAGGCTTGTAAATTGGATTGGATAGGATCGGATTCGGATTGGGATTCCACGATCCTATAAGATCCTATTACCAGGATCAAAAGATTCTACCTATAAGGAATTTTTTACACAATCCGGATCGATTGTACTCAAATGGATCATAGGATCGTAAGATCCGGATCAGGATTCTGATAACCATGCTCATTACTGGTGTGTTTTCTTTTACTATTTTGATGAAGCTGAATTCGAAGTTGTCATATATATGCACACAAACACAATATATACATGCATGTATTAGCACTTGCACATAAATGAATTCTTTCTATTCGTGCTCAGTACACACAAACACATTATCACCTGCTTAACACTGCTGCTTTACTTGCTTACAGCTTTCATTCCAGATGTGGACTAACCAGATGCAGGAGACATTGAACTCTAAGAAAAAGGGTGATGTTGCTTTCAGGCATAAAGACTTCAGAGCTGCAGTTGAATGTTACACACAGGTTAAAAATGTTTACCACTGTTCTTTGAATTCGCTTGCACTTTGACCTCCAATTTGTTGTCTGCCATTGGCTACCGCATTCCTTGTCAACCTGGCTTTGCATATCTATCATACTGGTATTCTTGGGCGAGGTTGAATGTAGAATTCTGTTTTAGTTTAGTTGCACATAAGATGCCCTTCTTATCTTTCAATATTTTCCATTTTCTTCCTGAACATTGGTTGTTAATAAGACACTAGTGGCTTGGGAACAAGGGGGACAAAGGATGGAAAAAAGGGGAAAGGGGGTGGGGGTGTCAAAAGCAGAAAATACGGACCACCAAAAACAGATTAAAGTTAACTATCAAATGTGTTGTTACTTCTCAAAGCTTGGTCTTTTTCAACTGTGCGTGCTGCTATGTCACAATGTTTTGCGTACTAGCACTCCATTTGGATCGAGTGATTTGGTGAGAAATATTAAGAGAGAGAGAGAGGGAGAGAGAGTTCTTTTCTCATGTTTAGTGTACAAGTTAGGGAGAAACAATGAGAATCGGTGAGAATGAGGATTCTCCTATTTTATAGGTTTAATTTATCACCAAAAGTGGTGAGATTTGGTGAGAAACAAGTTGATTGTGCTTTGTATTTTTCATAATACCAACATTGCCCTATTTTGGGAAGTGGGTTATAATCCACTTCCCAGATTATAACCCACTTCCTCTCTCACAAAAAAGCTGCTTATAAGCAGCTTTTCACAAAAAAATTGATTATAACCATCTTCCCAAAATAGCCCTAAACAGAGGAGAAAAAAAATTCCACCCATATCCCTATTTCACATACTTTGCCTTTTTACTCATCCAAACATGAAAGTGAGACAACAGATTTTTTTTTTCTTTTCTCACCTAGATGAGAGAGCGCAACCATTTCTTTTCTTTTCTCATCCAACAATCCAAATGGAGGGCGACATCCATTTTTGGGAAAACATGTATACTCTTGAAGGTTCTGAAGTCTATGATTTTTTGCTGTTCTGCATTTAAGAATGTTTTCATCTTCAAGCTAATTGTTTGCTTTGTTTACAGTTTATTGATGTTGGAACCATGGTCTCCCCAACAGTTTTTGCTCGCCGTAGCCTATCGTATCTCATGAATGATATGCCACTGGAAGCCCTGAATGATGCAGTGCAAGCACAAGTAATATCCCCTGTTTGGCACATTGCATCATATCTACAAGCTGCTAGTCTTTTTGCTTTGGGAAGGGAGAATGAGGCACAAATTGCAGTCAAAGAGGGTTCAATACTTGAAGAAAAGAGGAACGCGACTTCCTGACAACGGAGAAGAGGTGGCCTGGCCTACTGTCTTTTATTCTTTACTGAATTGTTCCTTTTTTCTGAAGATGATCATTGCACATCAAAGGCAAGCTTCTTGGCTTTGAAGCAAAACTCATGGTCAGAGAAATTTGGATCGTAATGGACACAGAGTCTCGGTCCTCTGCTTGCGCAATTGGTTGGTTTTGTTGTCATGTTGAATCATTCTTTTGCAACATTATTGGATAGGTTGGCTTGGTCAGTTTATTAGGGCATATGCATCCCTTAGTGTTTATGACAATTCTGCCCCTGCTGACAGTTTAGCTGACCTCTTTCCAGTAACATACAACTTTGGGAATAATTCAGATACCATTGGATCAGATTATTTTCATAGAGGAATATCAACTGTTGAGTTCCATGCCTTGGGGGTGTAGAAGTAATTGTTGCCATGCTGTAATTTGTGTACAGTACTCTATTGCTTTCTGCTGATGTGAAATTGATGCTTTTGTATGCTGTTGCCTTCTGTTTATGCTTTTCTGTCCGGTGGGGATATGCGGTTTAGTTTGGTTTGATTTAAATATAATTGACACTTTCTATTTGTTATTTTGCGTTTGTTCATGAATATCCGTCGCGGTGGTTATGAAACACACCAAAATAAACATGAAATCTTATATGTTCTTGCCTCCTCTCTTTTGCTAAAATGGAATGACTTGGGATTCATTCAACTTGTTATCTCAATGATCTTATGTGCAACTTTCATTTCATTTCCAGGTAATACCGGACAACCATACGAAGTTTTTAGAAATAGACACCAAACATGGGAATAGAGTTTTAGATATGAAACAGTAATAGGGTCCCTTCTCTTCCGTCTCCCATAACACTAATCAGTGAACTCTACAATAAAATGCATGTGTAGTACATTTGCTCAAAAGGGTGAGTGGAAAAAAAGAAAATGAAAAATGAATGGTTTATGAAAAAGCAAAAAATAATGGTTAACAAAAGGAAAAAAAGAAGAAGAAATAGAGTGGTTTATAAAAAGGGAAAAACAGTGGTTTGTATAAAAGGGAAAATCTAAAAAATTGAAATAGAGTAAAGGGCCCAACCGGGTTCGAACCGGTGACCTCTTGATCTGCAGTCAAATGCTCTACCACTGAGCTATGGACCCTTTGATGGAAAGGCTTTTAGAAAAATTACAATTAATATTAAACATAAACGAAAATTAAACATCACTAACCCATTTAATATGAATCATATGACTTGAATAAAAATACTCCTTCCTAAAAATATAATGTATGATGAAAATTGAAATATATTGTGACATACAATGTCATAGTAATACTGATGACGTGTATCATCAATTAACAATAAATTTACACGTAGAGCATGAACTCATTTTTTAAATATAACTACCTTTCTACACATAAATGGGAGGATAAATGACTAGAAATTATTAGATGGTGATAGTGATGATGTGGTAATAGTGTTGCATTAATTTTTTTTCCCGTGATATACCGAGCATTTTTTTAATTCAAAATAAATATTTTTCGGGAAATAACATATGATATGAGTGGAAGTTTCAAATATAAAATTACAAATTAGTAGAAAACTTAGTAATGAAAATTTTAAACTTTTGCATGTATATGTGATAATTTTTTTAAATTACCACTAGATGTTAGTCGCCCCAATATTTTTTAACATAAAATATTTTTTACGCTTTTTAAAAATATTTTTTTAATTTTTTTTTTTTAATATTTGGTGGTGATGGTGTAGAGGCGACAGTGATGGGGCGAAAGTGGAGGTGGTGGGTTGGAAACGGTGGCGGTGGTTGTGGTTATGGTTGTGATCTAGCATGGGTAAAATTTTAGTTCATAAAATATATTTTACTTTTTAAAAGTAAAAAATGTTTTCTGTCAAAATAGACTTATTTTCCGTTGACTGTAAAAAATATTTTTCATTAACTTTTATTTTCTATTATACTAATACTAAATGTTAAAAAAAAAAAAAAAACATTTTCTAATGCAAACAAATGGAGTGTAAACAAATTTTGTGGATAATCATCCTACCATTATGTTCAATCTACTCCAATTTTATAAGTTAAAATATAAATTTCAAACCCTTTAAAAAAAATCTAATTAATTGAGTTTAATTGTATTTTATGATCCAAACACTCGCAAAAAAGAATGATACAACATTACAAATGAAATTATATAAATGAATGCAATTCAATTCTATTTTTATTTCAGTGAACTAAGCATAACATCAGAAATTTTGATGAAAAATATTCAAAAGTGCAATCAATTCAGTGGCATTGCAACAATTGAATTAAAATCAAGAGACAATTTGCTAGTATAATTCATCTTTTTAAGGGAGCCAATTGTACTTTTAAGCATCTTTCAGATTGCAAATAATCAAAAGCGCTGATCTTTCACCCCAAATCACAAGGTGGACAATAGTATAGCCACATTCTACGCTATGATTGTAAGAAAATCAAAACGAATTACACTAATTGTCCTTATAGTTTGGGTCTTGTGTTATTTTGATTCCTGATTTTTTAATTGTGATACATTCGATGTTGAATTTTGAATCTTGTTACAAATAAAGACAATTGTAGATATCATTGCTCAATTTTAAAAGCAAAGTTGTTTATTTAAAAAAATATAAACTAATTTGATAAAAATAAATATCAATAAAATATTTTTGAATTTTTAAAATTTATTTCTACCCACTAAACATAAAATTATGTAAAATTGACAAATTTTTTAGAAATTTATTTATTTATTTTACTAAATTTATTTTTATTATGTGTTTCGATGATGATCATATAATGGGTGACTGTTTTTATTTTCATTAAATTAGTTTCTATTTTTCCAAAAATCAAATATGTCGATAACTTTGATATCATTATTAAACCAATTTATTACATGATCATCATTCAAACCCATAATAAAAATTAATTTAATTAAAAAAAATAAATGTCTAAAAGATTTATCAATTTTACATAATTTTATCTTTGATGGGTAGAAATTATTTTTAAAAATTCAAAAATATTTTTTTGACATTTATTTTTGTCAAATTAGTTTATGTTTTGATAAATTGACGACTTTGCCCTTAAAATTGAGCAATGATAACTTCAATTATTTTTATTTAAAATAAGATTTAAAATTTAGGATAAAATGTGTCATAATTAAAAAGTTAAGATCAAAGTGACTCGAGTCCCAAATTATAAAAACGGTGAGCGTAATTCGCCCAAAAAAATCAACCACATATGTTGGGAACAAACATGATGTGGTAACCATTGGTGAGCACAAAATTGAACTAGAACAACAGAGCGGAAACATTTATAAATAAGCCCTTCTGCAGATATTATGATGTCATAGCAATTATTATACAGATACATGGTAGTTATGACTTATAACAGTGTAACGACGACAATCTTTTTTTTATTGGAAACCTGTGAACATGAATGACCTAGGTTTTTTTTTTTTAATTATTTTTATTTTTAACCGGAAAATCCTCATTCTCTCTCTAGGTCTAAGGCAATGCCCATTGCAGAGATCACCAAGATCGTCCTGAGTTAGAGACTATCACCAAAGACCTTATCCTGACCTCCAAAGACAAGTTTCGCTTAAGTCATGACTCATGCAACGAGAATTGAGGGTAACCAACTGTGCTATGCTTAGGAGATTGGTCCAAGGAATTTCGAATTTGAGATCTGGAGTCTTAACCCCCAAGCCTTTACCAAGTGCGCTACATGCCTTGGGTTAAATGCCTAATTATATCCCTATAAAAGCTGCAATGTAATAAAGATCTCTTTATAATCAACAAATGCCAGCATCATTTTTCATATTCTTGTGTATTTATTAATTTTTAAAAATATTTTTTTAAAAATATTTTATTTTTTAAATACATCTAAGTAAGGTGTATCTAAAAAAGTAAAAAAAAAAATTTACTTAAAATTTTAAAAATATTCACTATAAATAAAAAAATACGAAAAATAAAAATCTCCATTTACAGAAAATTGAAACTAAACACACTAATTGATTTCTAACATTACTCATAATTCATATACTTTTGTTCAGTCTCAAATTATTTGTCACTTGAAAATTGAAAAATAATATATTTTGTATTTAAAAAGTATTTAGTTTTTTTTTTAACTTATTAAAAGATTTCATTAAATATTTTTAATTTGTAAATAAAAAATTAAAAAACTTGACACAAAAATATATTATTTTAAAATTTTTATTTTTCTCCCCACGCAAACAATTTGGGACAGACGAAGTACTAAATCGACACTTTAAATAAAATTATACTACTGATTCATATAATGAGCAAAGCGTCACTTTAATTTATGTTGCTTCCATTTGAATAATTTGAATTATATATTTTTTAAATTTTGTTGCAATATTATCTCCTAATCATGGGCCATTAACATTTTGAATAGAAAAAGGTCATGTGCAAAACTTTCAAATTATACTTTAGTCCTTCCAATTATGCACGTGTCATTTTTCCTTTAAAACTCTAACACTAGGTAGCTGAGGAACTGTATTGTTACAAAATGAAAATGTAGAGTTTAAATTGTTCAAGTTAAAATCATAAAAATTAAAATAAAATTTCACTTAAATTAAATTTTCAATGAAGGGATTTTTACTATAAATTTTATTTAAAAGTGTTCTAAATCAAGAAGTCTATTAAGAAATTTTTAACCCATTTAGTCCTATGTATTTATATTTTTATTTCATAAAATCTTTTTTCTGGGAGCTTCTATTTGTACACACCATATCCCCTCTTCCCACACACTTAATGAGAGAGTGTGTTGGAAAGTTGTGTGTGAAGGACGTGTATAGAGAGAGAGTGGTGTGTGTAAATAGATGCTCCCATTTTTTCTTAATTTACACTATTTTCTTAGACGAGTAATGATTCATCCCCCTTTTCCTCCCACCCCCTTTGCCCCCCTCTCTCTCTCATTGGTTACCTTTTCTTTTTCTTTTTCTTTTTTTTCCTGCTCCTCCAATCACCATCCGCCACGTGACAAAGGGGGTGAGGGGGTGACCCTCAAAAGGGGGTCCCAAGCATTATTCTTCCTTGAACCCTCTCCTTTCCGGGACATTTCCCTAAATAAGCCAAAATACTAAAGGGTTGTTTGGGATGATCTAAATAAGTATACTTTTTGACTTTTTATGAAATATGAGTTGGGTTTGGGTTGGGTTTGAAGTGATGTGTTAGAGAGGTAATGTGACTTAAATAAGATGATGTAACTTAAATAGAATAATGACTTTTTGTCTTTTTGTCTTTTTTCAAGTATGCCAAACTTGGCCTAAATCAATTCCCAAACTAAGTCTAGTTTTGAAAGAATTCCCAAAATAAGCTAAATCGTGGTTTACAACCACGATTTCAACGTGTGTACGCTTGTCTCGCGTGAAATTTGGGTAGTCTTAAAATCGTGGTTACAAAACGTGCTTTTGATTAAGAAATCGCGGTTACAAAAGGCGCTTTAATTAATTTTTTTTTCTTCTGAAATCGCTGTTCTGAATCACGATTTTATCCAAAAAAAAATTTTCTTGTGAAATCGCTGTTCCTAACCATGATTTTATCAAAAAATATTT